CAAGCCGCTTACCTACGCAATACGCAAGCCGCCGTCGGACAACGACACACAACGACGCACTCGTCAGCTGTTGTTTATAAGCGAGTTCACGACCGACCTACGTCACGTGACCGGAGCGAACAACGTAGTCGCCGACGCACTGTCACGCGTTGAAACGATCGACTTACCATCGCCGATAGACTACGAACAACTATCTCAAGCACAAGAAAAGGACAGCAATATTCTCAACCTATGTAAACAAACAAATATTCAACTCAAGAAAATCGTCATACCTACTTTAAACAAGCCGATTTACTGCGAAGTATCGACGCCTCACATTCGTCCATACCTACCAGTTGACTTTCGTCATAGTATAAAGAACAAAGTAGGTTATCTTCATACAAATGCTCCGCGCGCGGCTTATATGTGTGCGCCATAGTATCTATGCGTCGACGCACGCACACTTTAACAAAATCTCGACCCGTTTCTCGGTGCGGCAGGCAGGGCTGACACTGCACGAGGTTCGCGCGCGCTTCACGGCTCTTTGGCACTGTTCAATGAAATAAAAAATGTCTGATAATCGTAGAAGAACGTATTGCTGTGTGTTTGGGTGTCTTAATAATTAATCGATTCCAGAACTGTCTCTGTTCAGATTAGGTACCTATTGAACAGGAAAGGTAAGCTAGTCACTTTTTCTAGCATAATATAATTTGTAGGTACTTGATGATGAGATACCTACTTACTTATTCTTACTCTTATCATTCTTCATAGTTCCTACTCAACCAGATATGTAATTACCTACTATACTTAAATATTATAAGAAAATGTGGTATTGTATTGTTTATTTCACAGTTTATCTGATTTGTTAAGAGCGTAGCCGAGTCGCATTTTTCCATATAAATGTATTCCCAAATTTACTTTCTGAATACTATGTATAGAGCTAAAGTTTATTTTAAGAAGTTAATAATCTTTTTATAAACTTTTAATTTTTACTAAATTTATAAATTGATAAAATATTCAATCATAATATGCTTTTCATTTCATAAATTTAGATCAAGTGCTGCTTGTTCGAAAATATTAACTAAAAGTAAAAGTGACAACCCTGGGGATCAACGCAAGAGTAGGCTAATAACTCGGCGGGCGGCCTTAGATAACCTACTGTGTTCTTTATACTATGCTTTCGTCGCATCGCATTCAACGCCGTGCACAATACAAGTCATCCTGGTATTCGAACTACACGCAAACTAATGCAGCAACGATACTTCTGGCCGTCTATGAACACCGACATTGGCGAGTGGGCAAAGTCATGCATTCAGTGTCAACAATCAAAGGTACATCGACATACGCACAGTGACGTCACATCATTCCCACCGAGCGAGCGTTTCGAACACGTACACATTGACATCGTCGGACCTCTGCCTACATCTTCGAGCGGACATCGATACCTACTCACTATGATCGACCGCTGCACCCGCTGGGCAGAAGCCGTCCCTCTGCGAGAGATATCAGCCGAAGTCGTCGCAAGAAAGCTGTATGAAGCATGGATATCACGCTTTGGTTGTCCTATCAAAATCACGACTGATCAAGGACGACAGTTCGAGAGCAGCTTATTCAAAAATCTCGCTCAGCTACTGGGAGTAGAAAGAACTCGTACTACTGCCTACCACCCGCAGAGTAACGGGATCGTAGAACGCTGGCATCGTACATTGAAAGCCGCGCTCATGACTCGACTCGCCGACAACAACAAATGGTTGATCGAGTTACCTACCGTGCTACTGGGACTACGAGCCGCTACGCGCACCGACACTAACACTAGTGCCGCTCAACTTACCTACGGACAAGAACTACGGCTACCCGGCGATTTCATATCGCCATCGCCTACCTACACGAAGATGGATAACGACTATGTGGCTGACTTGCATCGTGTTATCACAAGCTTAACGCCCGCTTATCAGTCGCACACTAACCGACTGAGTATCTTCGTGCACAAAGACCTGCAAACATGCAGCCACGTATTTGTACGTGACGACGCAGTTCGCAAACCGCTGCAACGTCCGTACAAGGGTCCGTACCTAGTCTCCAGCAGAAGCGACAAGTACTTCACATTACAAACACCTAGAGGTACTACCAACGTGTCTATCGAGCGTCTGAAGCCTGCCTACGTCATTAATTATGATAACTCGGACAACTGTGCAACGCTACCAGAGGCTATCCAGGATCAACCCAGTCAACCTCCGTCGAGCATCAGCGATGTACGAAAAACGCGAACAGGAAGAATCGTCAAGACCCCAGTACGCTTCGCTCGGGGGGGAGTACTGTAGCCGCACCGCACGACTACATACCTACCAGTTACCAGTACCACCGAATACCTTTCCATATACCAGATACCTTCCACAATACCTTTACCAAAGTTATAGACTCACTTCGTTTAAAGAAACAAGAAACCAATTGTCTTGAAAAAGACAGTTTACGTTTTGACTCCGTTTTAAGAAACCAGAAACCAATTGTCTTGAAAAAGACAGTTTTCGACTTTCTTGCATAGAAACGATAATCATCACTGCGGCAACAGCGTTATCACACCGTGCCGCGAGCGATCGCTTCGAAAGAAGCGGTTTGGTAAAGCAAGCAGCCAAGCAGCGCAAGCGGAGCCGGAGGCCGGAGTACTTGCATTCATCTTCATTCTTCATTCATCTGTAGGTAGTCTTCAGTCTTCACTCGACGCCGGCTCTCGGAGAAATGCGCGCGCTCGCGCCGCGCGGTCATACTTATACGGAAGGAACCGATAGTGCCGTGTGCAAAGCGGCGCCCCGCACCCCGCGCGCCCCGCGCACGCCGGCGCGCCGCTATTGGTCGAAACTATTACCTAACTATATCTGATCTTGTCTAGTTGTAAATATGTAAATAGAAATATAAGTAGCGTAGTTTGGCGAAATAAAATCATTCTTGACAACACCTCTCATCGGAGTTTTACTACTACTAGAAGATAAGAAGAAACCTCCTCTAGGACACTAGGCTCTCCTACCTAGCTCCTAAATTGGTGACCCCGACGCTGCCAACGGATCTCTGCAAGAATCAATCAATCGCCGCCTAGTACTACAGAAAATCAAGCTCGTCGTAATGTCCAACTCCAACGAAAAAACGCCGGAACTCTCCAGCGTGTCGACGTCACTGCGCATCCCACCCATATGGCGCGACAGAATACGCCTATGGTTTGCGCAGTTCGAGGCGATTATGTCTCCGCGCGCTCGCGCCGCGCGGTCATACTTATACGGAAGGAACCGATAGTGCCGTGTGCAAAGCGGCGCCCCGCACCCCGCGCGCCCCGCGCCCGGCGTGCGCGGGGCGCGCGGGGTGCGCCGCTATTGGTCGAAACTATTACCTAACTATATCTGATCTTGTCTAGTGTTGTAAATATGTAAATAGAAATATAAGTAGCGTAGTTTGGCGAAATAAAATCATTCTTGACAACACCTCTCATCGGAGTTTTACTACTACTAGAAGATAAGAAGAAACCTCCTCTAGGACACTAGGCTCTCCTACCTAGCTCCTAAAGTAGTATGAAACCGAAGTTATTTATCTTCAATCATGAAGATCACGAACATAGTTCGTAGTGTTTCACAGTAGGTAATATCCATATACTTACTAGTATTAGAAAATGGGAGTGTGTACGATATTTGTCAGTCTTTTTTTTTTAAGGGGGGAAAATCATCGAATGACTGCTCCCGCCTGGGTGAGGCGGAAGGGAGTGTCAGACTCTTACTGACTAAAAACCACCCCGTTCCTTCTCCTACACGTCAAGCCGGAGCCCCGGTTACCCGTTAGGTTCTCCGCGACTCCGAATCGGCATCGGCCCTATTGGGCCCCATCTGTGATGGTCTGATAGCTCTATGAGGCGCGCGCGGAACGCGACGCGCCGTACGCTCGGGTCTGTTTCTGATCGGACGGGGAGCCACCCATGCTCGCCGTCCGCAGGCCCGCGCTTACGGTGGCCGGAGATCGTCTCGCAATCCCCGACGCCCGTTGTCCTTTGCGATGGCTGGGTTGCGAGGGTCTTTCACAGCAAAAAGGAGCGACGAATCGACGTGTTTCTAGAGGTGGTGTTTAATCGTGAATGATGAGAGTTGCAAAGAATGGAAAGTGACAATTATCTCTTTCATACACCACTCTTCCTTATGGCCTTTGCCTCGAATACTACTATACTGATTTTTAGCTTTCTACCATTTTACCGCTTCATTCATTTGATTACGCATATGATCCTGCCGGTCCCACGCCGCGCTGCCGCTGTCGCCCCGCTGCTCGCAAAATTCGAGGCAGAGGCCTTAAAGTGGTAGTTTGTATGAAGTATTCAGCAATTGTACAGGTAGAAAGCTAAAAAATAGTATGTGGACCATTTGTTATTATTTAACGAAAAATCGTGCATCATTTATTTAAAAGATCGTGCTACGACCAATAGGAGTCGATCGAGGGGTGAACTGCGCAGGACTGGAGTGGCTAGTTAATAAATAAACCAACAACATACATTATAAAAACAAAATTATTTATTGACTACTAAATCTAAACCACGAGTTTTAAAAATATTTCATAATTACGAATCAAAACTTGTAATAGACAATAATAAAATGACAATATTTACAAAACATTAACGATAACACCCATTTAGGTCCATCCAGAAGCTACATTATATCTACAAAGTCTACTGTAACTGTAAGTCTTTAATCACTTCACATAAAAACGTTTATTCCACTGTACTTCTCATATTTGAATGACTTCCTGCTGTCTTCATGCTGAGTAATAATATCTTCAATACTTAATCCGTAACTGCTGTACAACTGAATATAAGTGTAGGTAAATGTCCATTGTGCCGCCCTCATCCTAGCAAAGTGCTTAAAATTAAGACGTGAATTATGTTGATCGATGATTACGACGCTGACAGGAACGCCGCAAACGGAGTGATGTAGCTCCCGTCGTTACATAATCGCGCAACAACACGTTACTAAATAATGACGGCTATATACGAAATGTTAAAGACTTTGAACAGCTGGAAGACTGGCTTTGCAATCTAATTGAGATTGATCGCAGTCAGTATATGAAAGTTTGAATTGACTTAGAAATTCAATTGCCTTAGAGCTTGAATCGAACGCCAACTCTCGAATGATGAAATCCACAGGAACACTCTGTCTGTAGCTGCACATATAAAAAATAAATTAATAAACACAACCAGCAATGCTGGCAAGGGGACATTTTAGTACCTATATTCTAATTCGTATGACTAGAACATAAATACTAAACATTAAGAATCTCTTGATCATACTTAAAGACAGTACCTAGGGGATGGGACAAGAAACAAGTTATGCAATTTCCTATAGCAAAGTGTTGAAAGGAAAAGGAAAAACATTAATAAAGTATATCCCAATACTCAATCAATATTTAACTTCATGCACAATTGTACACAAATTAAATAATAATTATAATGTATGGGTAGACTTAATGCCATAGGCATGTATCAATATTGCAATAGTAGTATTATAGGTATTTACCGTGGTATACACAAGTCATGAAAATTTGTCATGTCAATAATTAGCATGTCATATTTAAAAAGTCAGCAAACAATAGACATATTATTCTTATTTAGTGTTGTTTCTTTCTATTATAGTCATTAGATACAACATTTCTCAAACTTTATTCTGTCCAATCCCCTTACTTTGTCACTAAGGAAGAATTCAAACCCTTGTGGTTTGAACAGTGTTTTAATAGTTACACATTAATCAAAAGAGTTGGTGCTTTAAAATATTCTAAATTTGGGCGCATGTGCCTATTTAGGCACATGGACCCAAAACCAATTATTCAAACGCAATATTCATGCCCTGATGAAAAAGTATATTAGTATCCAAATATTGAATAGATATAAAATATTGGTAGTTACTGAAATTTATATAAAATACCGCAAATAATTTGATATTTATAAGCGCGCATTTTGCTTAAATATTCAATTCTTGAAGGTCCTTCTTATTTAAAACATTTTAATTATAAACCGATTTGCTCGATTTTTAGGGAAATTTCATAAAATCTTGTAAAGTTATTATTGTTATATTACGCCGTAGGACCGTGGTACGTGCTAAGGCGTTAGATAGGAATGACCACGTGATCAGTTAATAAGACGCGATGATCAAACTACTACAGTACAGCTAACTGGCTAACGGCAATATTTAATCCTAAAATGCCTCAAATATTTTGTTTATTAAAGCATTTGAAATCCTTTTCTTCAGCCGTGTGTATGCCTCATTTAGTAAACTAAGAACATACAAAAAAATCCAATTACTAAATACCAACAAACAAATAAAATGGACAAGCTAAATAAAACCGTTTAGTAAAAATGAAAAGTAACTTTCTAGTATCCCTAGCATAGGAAGCACTTAACCCATTTGGGCCCGCCGTCCCCGTATGGGGACAGGTTTTCTTTTACCCGCTGGTTATTAATTATTTTAGCTATCTTCACATTTCATGGGTATTTATAATGAGGAGTAGTGTACTTTCCTAAAATTATTAGAACTTTTGACAAATTGCTACAAAAAAGGGGTCATATTGTCAATTTTATCAAGAGGAAGTGAAATGGGAATTATTATTGAAAGCAGAGGCGTTTTGTAGTACGTTATTATGAAGATTTATAAAACTTTTTTGTGATTATTGCTTGCTTATAGTGTCAATTAAAACAATATTGAAGAATATTCTTATACTTTCAATTCCGCTTAGGGGAAAGTTAGAAAAAATGATGGTGTCCCCGTATGGGGACAATGGGCACATCTGTAGTATATTTTTAAAACATTTATACCTGATTTGTATTTTGTTTTCCAATTTATAAAGGTCACCTATAGGCTAAACTTAGTTATAGCTAATACTTGGTGACAACAGACGCTAATTCACGAAGAGCATCACCAATTCCCACATATCTTTACGCGTTCATATTCTAAAATCTGATGGCATCAAGACCGAAGATGCAAAAGTCCACCTACAGTACCAGGCGTCGCATCCGATATCTGAATTCAGCAGTAGGGGGCATTTCCTCCAGCTGTATTCTGGTGTCGTCACAGCGAAGTCCACCCAGAGGATAGAGTAGCATTATGCCCTGTATACGTTGACCACCGCCGTGTCTTCAGGGAAGTGATCGACGACGATAATCTTCCACGTCCAGCTTAGGTTCTGGCTGTGGTGCGGAGCGAGGGGAACTGGAAAACATCTCTTTCTGCGAAGCAGTCATAGTAGCAAGAACAGATCGCCGCCCAGAACCAGACCTGTACCTGTAAGGTGCGTGGCGTTACGCGCGTGCTTCAAAATGCAGATCAGACCGCCTTAGATCGAGATGGCTCAGTGGGACAGATGCCCGACTACTATGATTAACCTAGTGGGTCACCGGGGCTTCGGCTTGAAGCAGAATTAGGAACGTGTTGGTTTTTAGCCAGTAAGAGTCCCCCAGGCGGAAAACGCAATGCATGATTTTTACCCTCAAAAAAAACATAGGCGCGTCACATCAAATTGATTTAGACATTTTCCGCAGAGATTTGGTTAATATCTGTTACGATACGCAGTTCGTCATAAAAAAACTGTGATATCAATGCAAATAATGCGTTAGAACCTTGTGTGTCGAAAACAGTTACTACTTCGAAAAGTACTACACATGTGCCCATTGTCCCCAATCAAGGACGGCATTTTTTTTAATACTTCTAAAAATATTTTTTGAATTTTTTTTGCTGATATTAGTTTGTGGGCGTCATATCATTGAGTTAATAAAGTTTTTTTTATTAAATTATGTGTAGTTTGCATTTGGTCCCAAATGGGTTAAAAAGATTGATCGTAGTCATCTATACTTGTCACCTAACCTGAGAGAGTCAACAGGTAGTTATTTTCGTAATTTTAAAATGTGAAAATAATTTGTTTTTGCAAATAAATCGATATTTTATGGATTTATATTATTGATGTAAATAACAAGCATAAAACCCTAACCAATTCACAGTTCGCAGTGTTAACTGTATGTAAGCGATATAATGCATAGCCCCAATATGGAATAATAAATTAGTAAAAAAGTAAAGGACGTACGACTTTAAGATGTATTTCAGGTACTGCTTTCGTTCTCGTTCAACAAACCAGTCCATGAGATATCCCGCCATCATAGGGGCTGCTCTATATAGCAAGAAAAATTTGTGTAAATTTCCTGTAGCCCAAGCACATCTGGTTTGAAGTGCATGTTTGACACACTTATTTTCTCTATCTTCCTTTGAAAGAAACTTAAAAATTGTGGTTAAATCTGAAAAAAAAAAGTACACTTTATAATCATATTAATTGTTTAAAATATATAGACATATAGACCAGAAAGGCAAAGGGCCTTTTGAACGTCAAGAAAAAAAATTAAAAGTGAAGCTATTTGCTCATTCCAAGGTATAGATTCCTATAGAGAAGAACGAGCAAGAAACACCAGAGGTTAGTCTTTCTCAATCAGGTTCACAATACAATTCTCTAGTTACATAGTTTTGTTGTTTGGATTATGCAAGAATAATGTAACACTAAAATCCAGGCAGAGATCGTAAAAGAAAATAACCTTAAGGACAATAATTAATACAGTCTGGAGCTGACCAGTCCCAGTTGATGACGCCCGTTCACGAACATGACTTGTACACCAGCACCGCCTAACTCAACCATATTGTAGAGAATCGAGCGATCCACTGCACGGTACACCCATAGATATGCTAGCACCCTATGAATTTATATTATTTACTTGTACTTTAAGTTGCCTATCCTGAAGGTATGATTTTAACAGATTTAACGCCGTCCCCGAATGCCGTAGTGGTCCAGCTTCAGCAATAGTGACTCATGTTCAATACAGTCGAATGCCTTCGAAAAATCACAAAATATTCCGATGGCACCCCGTGCTTATTCCGAAAAGGCGAAAACCTATTTAATTAGAGCTACTATAGTTATTGGGTTCTGCGCCATCACTGGATTTAAACAATGGAACTACTTTACTATGGAAACTCCGTACGGGAAAACTCCGTGATTTACACTTTTATTAAAAATGAAAGCTAAATGAGGCGCTATTGTCTCTATAAAAGACCTACACACCCTAACAGACATTCCTCAGAGATCTTCAGTAGACTTAACTTTAAGTCACTCCTTGACATTACTTTTAAGAAGTTCGACGGAAAGAATTGGAGATAATTTCAACTTTTCCATGGTTTTAATTGGAGTATTTATAAAGAAACTTTCAATTGATGCACCCATTCGCAGGATTTAGATTAAATTCAGCATTACGTGATTTATTTCTACCTGTCTCGTCATTAATTATATTCCAGGTAGTTTTTATTTTATTTTCTGCAGTCTTTATTTTATTGGTAATGTAAAGTGCTTTAGCATGCTTACAAACTAAAATAACTATAAACTTAACTGGTGTAAACCGTATTAACATAAAATAAATAAATAAATAAATAATAAATAAATTAATCTTAGCAAAATATCCTGTTTTATTAAAATTGGTGTATTTGTATGACCATTGTTACAACCATCATCATCATCATATTATTTACTACAGTAAAAAGACTTACCTAAGGTATTTTTAGTGAAAATATAATACAATATCCTGTAAGCTGTAAATTCTGGAGCATTACTTTTACAATCAGGCAATTCACTGTACAGCATTTTGAGTTGAGTTTGACACTGATTAAACTCTTCATGATCACCCTTCTCAAGAGCAATTCGTGCATGTGTTTCATACACTTCTACAGTGAACTCATCTCGAATTCCTTGTACCTGAAAAGTATCACATATCGGTAAATAGCACATTATGTTTACTATTCAGTTATTTGCTCATGATAGCTACTGAATTGGTTAATTTACTTACAGTTAAGTCTTGCCTAATAGATTTTAACTGATCACAAGTATATGTGTAATCTTGTTTTTCTACCCATTTATCTTTAACATATTTAAGGGAATTTCTTAAAACTGTCACAGGTCTAACTTCACATGCTTCTGGTGCCCTTGTCAATCTTAAAAATGACTTTTCAATGTCCAGACAAGTGCCCACTATGTGCATGTTATTGATTTCATAGTCACCATCAGCATCCTGAATAATTGGTCTACGTATAGTTGGTTCTTGCCTCTTGATTCCACCCTGTAAAGAGCTTGCTATGGAAGGAACACCTGTATTACCAAAACGTTCAGCTCTTTTCTGCAGTTTTTCAGCATTACCCTGGAAATCTTCAACAACAAATTGGTCAAATGATTGTTTCTTTTTGTTTGTGTTTTTGTGATAAGGTTTATCATTTTTCTTTTGATCTAAAGACAATCTATCTTTAACTTTCTGACGCCCTTTGCCTTTTACAATTTTTTTGTCATCAACCTCATCACCAGAAGCAGAAGAGGCGCTGAAAAAGAATGAGACAACAATTTAATATAACAATTTCAAAGCCAACATCATAATAATATAACATATAAGCTTTTATCAGAATTTACTCACTAAAAAAATTTTTTTAATATTAACATACCTTAGCCTTTTCCTAGGAGGGCTCCGAGACTTAGACCTGCTCCTAGTGCTAGGGCGTCTCCTGCGCTGTGGAGAGTTCTTATGACCATTAAAACCCCGAGTATTTATTGAACCACGACTTTTAAGAGGTTCCGTAGCATTTTCTACCTTCTGATACAAATTTAATGTGCCACGCACAGGCTTTACAGCCAGATTATTTCTTTCACTGTGAACACTTGGAATTGGTTCCTCATCCCAATTCCTAGTCCATATTTCATCTTTATTGGCAGCTGCAGTTATTCTTCCTTTTAGACATATATCAATTTGATCACGATCAAATGCAGATTTACATTTTTCATAACATCTTTTGATATATCTCTCTAAGCTTTCAGGCCAATTGTTTCTAGAATCTGGATCATTAAATAAATTAGAGGCATTTTTGTTTTGTGCCTCAACGTTACTTTCATTCATAAAGAATTTGAACTCTTCTGGTTCTGGTGGTTGAGGTATGTCTTCTGTCGCCACTGGAGGCGGCAGTGGTACATCAATAGGAGGAGGAGGGGGCTTGGGGATTTCCGGTGGAGGGAGGGGTGGCAATGGAGGAGGATGGTCAGGGAGTGGGGGCAGGATTTCATTTGAATCTTCAGTGTTATCTTCATTGAATTTATTGTTTGGCTTCTTGCGTTTCTTTTTAGGGCCATTGTTATTGGAAAGAAGTGGATTTTCATTTACAGGTAGAGGTGGTGGCTTTCTCATATTGTTGAGATTGAACCTAATGGGAGACTGGTTAAAGAATGGACGATTGGTATCAAGGGGAGACATACCAAGTAAAGGGGCAGTTGGAGGTGGTTTTGAGAATTGGGGATGACTTATATCAATCTTCTGATCCTTATTTTGATGAAATTGATGAGGATTATTGTTAGAAAAACCTCCGTTGTTAACCATCGGGTTAAAGTACTGGTTGTAATATGGTGGATACACACCACCATGATATCCATTATATTGATGGTACATATTCATGTTATAGAGCCACGGATTATGATTTGGTGGTAATCCACTTACTGTTTGTATCGGAGGCTCTTTTGGACCATTTTCAGCCATTGTGTCGTAAAATAGTGAGTGTAAACTTACTCAACTTAGGGAATAATAAAGGTATTTAAATAATTAACAAATTAATTATCTAAGATGTCCTATACCAAAATGGCGACGATATGTCACTCACTCAAACTCGTTACACTTTCGGTAGATGATCTCGAAGGTGCGTCGTAATCGTAATACGTTTCTATTCTTCTTTCAGCTTTCAAGCAGTGAACTCACTTTGAACTTAATCACCAAGTTAATCACAAATAATTAGAGTATAGAATTTCACTATGTACGAGTAAGTGCATTCAAAACTGAACAAGACATTTTTTTTTACAACATGAACACATTACATTTCCATGCGCCATTTGTGTCTAAAATTATTTTACTCTATGGTGTTTTCGCTCTTTGGTTCCACCGTTCCAGTGTTGCCAACGAAATAAGACTAGACGGTTCTTTGCATCGTAGGGTTCGTCTACATCTGGCGAATGCGCAGTTCGTGAGCTGCGAGCTTGCCAAAGAGGGGAAGCGCGTGCATTTAAAATTATTATTTATACGAACGACTGCCTCGTTGGCCGAGTGGTCACAAGTGGGCAAGGGGTATCTGGTTCGATTACCGGGTCTGGAGAGTATTACAGGGTTTTAAAAAAATTCTCAGTACTAGCACGGAGTCTGTAATTGTGCCCGGTATATGGCAATAGACTCACCCCCTATTACATGGGACTCATAACATAAATCGTAAAAAGTGTAACGGGTAACCGGGGCTCCGGCTCGACGTGCAGGAGAAGGAACGGGGTGGTTTTTAGTCAGTAATAGTCTGACAGTCCCTCCCGCCTTACACAGAGGGGAGCAGTCATTTAATAAAAAAATACGAACCATAAATGTATAAATTGAGAACAAAACTATTGCAGTGACAGCACGCGCGCAGCTTGCGGATAGCCCTATACTTATTTACTCTTTGATGCAGCCTGCATACGGCTCGTGGGCGGCACATTCACGAGGTATTCGCTAGATGTAGCGATGGGAGTTGAATCAACGAACTCGTTGGTTCGATCGGTCATAACATAACTGACCGGGTTCGTGTATGTGTTTCTGTGAATGAATATTCATTCACAGAATTCCTCCGCTGTCTATCACTTTCATTGTAATGTACAAACACTCTCGTTCTGAGTTTATCTATAGAGAAATCTTTGTTTGATTGGAATAGGAACAAGTAAGTTAAATTTATGTTACAGCCTCTAGCCAGATCTGTGCATGAAAATGAACTTTTCGAAAGATGGTTTTATAGATTACATCACAGGGAAACAGTACGAAATATACGAACATATTGTATATTATAAATCTTAATTTTATTAGTATTTTGAAGCAGTTTTATTTTTTAACCCTCAAAAATTACTTAACCTTAAGCATTGACTGCACGGTTGGCGCGGTGGGCAACTGGCTGCCGCGCAACGTGTTGCGGGTTCGATTCCCGCACGGAACAACTCTTTGTCTGATCCACAGATTGTTGTTTGAGGTCTGGGTGTTGTATGTCTGTGAACTTGTATGTTTGTAAACGCACCCGACCGAAGGAGAAAATCCTAGTGTGGGGCAATGTTTTTTTTTTAAAGAAAAGCATGTAAATGTCGACTAGTTGATGGAAAATCCTTTCCATAAATTACGATACATATGTATTGTGAAAGTTATGATGTCAATGTATGGACACGACCGACCGGAGTGATACCACAGTCTCACAGAAAACTGGCGTTCACGTTACTGGGTTCCATTCCTCCTCAATGCACGCAGTAACTACTAAATATATTTCGCTAATATTTTGGTAATGTTTTGTAACTAGATTAAAACCAAAATCAAAATTTCGATACTTCTACTGTTTCAAAAGTAACATCCCCAGTTCTATCCGCCATTACAGAATAAAAAATGAAGTTTAGGTCGGCACAATTTATTTTTGTAGGTATTTATTATTATTTACATATATTTATTTAAAATTCTCCATAAATTATATTTCTAAATACTACTTACAAAATAAAAAAAATAATATTTAAAAATATAAAAAATAGGACCCGACCAGTAGCGGGAACATGGTCCAAGCTACCGGTGGTTAGGGCTCCAGAGACAGAAACCTCCTCACGATACGTGCCGTTTCTAGGAGAACTGCCTTCTGTATCAGGCCCTTGATCCATCCACCTAACGCCAGCCTCCTGAGATGGATGTCGAGGCTTTTAGGGATTAACCCATTGGCCGACACGACTATCGGCACAATGATAGCCGAATCCACACTCCACATGTCGACAACCTCGTGAGCTAAGTCTAGATATTTTATTTGTTTATCTTTCTCAGCTTTCACGAGGTTCTCGTCATGGGGAATGGTGACATCGATTATCATCGTGCGGCGTACTTGACGGTCTATCACTACTATGTCAGGTTTATTGGCTACAATAGTCCTGTCAGTAATGATAGACCGGTCCCAGTACAATGTGATATGGTCATTTTCCAGAACTGGGTCGGGCACATACTTGTAGTACGGTAGCACATAGTATTATTATTTCCATATATTTATTTTAAATTCTCTATAAAATACATTTTTAAATACTATTTACAAAAACATAAAAATAATATTTAAAAATATAAAAAATAGGAGCCGACCAGTAGCGGGAGCATGGTCCAAGCTACCGGTGGTTAGGGCTCCAGAGACAGAAACCTCCTCACGATACGTGCCGTTTCAAGGAGCACTGCCTTCTGTATCAGGCCCTTGACCCAACTACCTAACGCTAGCCTCCTAAGGTGGTTGTCGAGGCTATTAGGTATTAACCCATTGGCCGATACGACTATCGGCACAATGATAGCCGAATCTACATTCCACATGTCGACAACCTCGTGAGCCAAATCAAGATATTTGATTTGTTTATCTTTTTCAGCTTTCACGAGGTTCTCATCATGAGGAATAGTGATATCGATTATCATCGTGCGGCGCAGTTGTCGGTCTATCACCACTATATCAGGTTTGTTGGCTATAATAGTCCTGTCAGTGATGATAGACCGGTCCCAGTACAACGTGATATGGTCATTTTCCAGAACTGGGTCGGGCACATACTTGTAGTACGGTACCTCAGACTCAACAAGTCGATAGTGCAAAGCAAGTTGCTGATGGATAATCTTGGCTACTTGATTATGCCTATGCAAATATTCACTGTTAGCCAAACGACCACAACCAGAAATAATATGTCTAATGGATTCACCAGGACTATGACATGCCCGACATATGTCAACCGTCCCATCCTTAATTATATATTTCCGGTAGTTATTCGTAAGGATAACTTCGTCCATAATTGCACAGACAAATCCTTCAGTTTCTCCAAAGAGATTACTGAATCGTAGCCAAGACACGGACGCTAGAAAATCTACACTGGGCCCATGAAGGGCCCGGAAGAAGCGTCCGTGGAGCTCCTTGCTATGCCATACCTCCTTGCGATCATTGACGCTCAGTACCACAGGTTTGCGCCAGTTCTCTTTTGCCAAGGATAGCGGAGTGAATCCATTGTCCACCGCTGCTACTTCTCGATGCATACCCTCGTTGACTTTCAGGAAATATTCCCTGAGGCTGCACACCTCACGGTTGTGGAGGGTCTTAGCATTTAATAAGCCTCGACCACCACACTTCCGTGGGATGTACAACCTCATGACCGACGAACGAGGGTGATGCATGCGATTTGCAGTCAGCAGGGTCCGGACTCGTCTATCCAGGGTGTCAAGTTCAGTCTGTGTCCACTTGAGTATACCAAAAGAATACATTAGGACTGGCATGACCCAACCGTTAAAGGCTCGCACCTTGTTTCCGCCTGATAAGGAACTTTTCAGTACCTTATTCAGGCGGCTAAAGAAGCGCTCCTGTAACGATTGCTTCATGTCCGGTCCATTAATGCCTAATCCTTCTGACATACCCAGGTACTTGTATGTATCGTTTGCGGAGAGTGATCTCAGTTTTGTGAAATCTGAGAGTTCTAGTCCCTCAGATTCCACAATCCCTCCTCGCTTTACATGCATGACCGCACACTTGTCTACTCCAAACTCCATTCTGATGGAACTACTAAATTTTTCAGTTATATTCAGTAGTTCCATCAGTTGTTTCTTGTTTGGAGCAAACAACTTGAGGTCATCCATGTAAAGTAAGTGGGATATAACTAGACCCCTTCTCCGCAAAGGATAGCCTAGCCCTGAATCCTCCAGTAGAGTACTTAGAGGATTCAAGGCCAAGCAGAACCATAGTGGGCTCAGGCTGTCACCCTGGAATATTCCTCGTACTATCCTTACAGGTTCTTCATTCCCTTGGATTTGTCTACATCCCGGATAGCAAAGCACGGTGCTCCACTGCCTCATACATGACTCCAAGAAGGCGCGTAAACTTGCATGTTTTATACAACTCCAGCACCTTCAGGAGCCATGTATGTGGCACAGAATCATATGCTTTTTTATAGTCTATCCAGCATGTGGACAAATCTTTTCGTGACCAACGAACCTGTTGGCTAACAACCATATCAATGAGGAGTAGCTCCTTAGTTCCACGAGACCCCTCCCTACATCCATTTTGAGATACAGACATGATGGAGTTTTGTTCAATATGTTTTGTTATTTTTGACCTCAAAATGGATGTAAGAAGTTTATAGACCATTGGTAAACATGTGATTGGTCTATAATTTTTGGGCTCAGTGGAACTACCTGATTTATGGAGCAGGTGGGTAACTCCTGTTGTTAGAAACTGTGGTAACGACCCAGTTTCCAAAGCTGCCTGGAAGTGTAATGCTAAGCGAACGTGTGAACTCTTGAACCATTTAATCCAGAAATTGTGCAGTCCGTCCGGCCCCGGTGATTTCCAATTCGGAACCGAACAGGCTGCACTGGCTACATCAGAGGAGGTGATTACTACCTCCTCCATCTCTGGTATAGTCTCACACCTTTGCTTAACATCAAACATCCAGTCACCTTCTGTGTGGCTAACAGGTACCGACCAGATGTTGCGCCAAAAT